CTGCCTCTGAGAACTTCTAATCCTGCTTTAAATTTCTGTGCTTTCTCTATAAAGCATCCTTGTGGAATTACATGCTGGGATATTTCAGGAGGTGAAATCTCTCTCCTGCTCATATCACACTGCACTCCATTGGTGGTTGTCCTGGGAAAAAAATGACATCCAGTTGGATGGGATGAGCTTTGAAATGCTCATCATTCATGGGTGATCATTCCTTAAAACCTTCATGTGCTAGGAAGGAGAGGAGGAGGCTGAAGTCAATATCCAGGTCAAATTCCAGCTCAGGTGGTGGCAATTCCCATGCCTAATTGTCCTCCTGCCCTTTCAATCAGACTTGTCATTGCTCCATGACAAACTTTTGGCAGTGATTCCCCAGACCTGGCTGTCAGGCACAGCTGGAAAGCCTGGCAGGCACTCAAGGGCTAAAGATGAAAACTATGGAAAACCTGGCAGCCAGGGATGACCTCTTCTGCATCCAAAGTGTCCCTTGCAAGGTCCTCACAGGTTCAGCCTCACCACTTGCAGCTTCTGGAAGCTGTGAGGACTGCGTGACAGGAGTGTATTAAAAAAGCAGAGAACAGCCAGACACTATTATTTATCCATTCACTGTCTAAACTTATTTCAGGATAAAAAGGAGCTGATTGACATTAGAGCAGGAGGCAGAGCTCATGGAAACCTCCTGGTCCCGGGGGAACCTGCTGCAGCTGCTCTCTGGGGCAGGGCTGTAGCAAATGCCTTTCTCTCCTTGTCACTCATGACATTCCCTTCTTTTAGCAGATATTACAATTTTTCAGGTATTTTATTTCTCAGGTATTACATTTTTTTCAGATATTATATATTTCAGGTATTTTATTTCTCAGATATTTTATTTCTCAGGTATTTTATTTTTCGAGTATCATATTTTTCAGATATTATATTCTGCATCAATGACCTTTTGCAGATGTGGTACTTTCATGCAACGCTGCTGTTCCTGCAAATGATCCTCTGTCAATGCTGTGGCTTTGGGGCTGTTGTAGAGGAAAATGGGGGAATAAAAAGGACCAGGGCAGAGACAGGGGAGCAAGATCTCAGCACAGACACAGCAGAGAGCTCGGGTGCTGGAATATTTAATGTCAATCATCCTAGGAGCTGATGATTTATAAAATGATATAGATCTTGAGGAACTGGAACTTTCTCCCTGTTTTATTTCCTTCTTTCTGAAAGCTGTCAGCCTGCAAAGACTCCTGGCCCTGTTCTCCAGTCCTTCCCTTGCTCTCACACAAGCCCTGTGAATTTTAGAGGCACGAAGGGGGACAACAGGTTTTGGAAAAGGTTTCTGTGTCCCAGATTCCAGGAAGGGGTGTAGCTCTACAACACCCCTCACCTCCAGCATATTTATCTACCCACGGAGATGCTCAAAGCAGCCACGGGCAGGGTGATCGTGCTCCTTTGGCATTCTGCTCTGCAGGCTTTTCCGGGGCTGATGTCACAATATTGCCCCAGGCTTGGCCCCACAATTTGCAGCGTTACTCGGACAAGAGGCCCGGTTTTGTCTACCCTAGCAGTGCAAAAACCCTGATCTCCTCCAAAAATTGCTCGAATGAAGAAGTGTCAGGACGAGCTGGAATAATGCAGCTATTTCTGGGCTGACAGCAGGAGGGAGCATGGCTGAAGATGGGATGGATCCATTTTTATTGCTGATAGCAGACTGCTGATGGAGCAGTCAGTGCAAAAAACCCCTAATGAAGGAGCTTTGAGGAACGCAGAGCAGAGAGGTTTAGCCTCTAATTTGGGCTTGTCTGGCCTAATATTTCTTCTGCCTTTCCCTCTGAGGACCTGGGCAGTCAGACATCTCCTCTGACTGACATGCAGACAGAAATAGGATTGTTTGTTGCTGCTCAGTACCCAGGGCCACTGCTTAGGGCTTGAGGCTTCAGCAGGAGCTGGAAAATATCTCCATGTCCTAAGTTATTACACATAACAAGAAAAAAAGGAAGCAGGAAGAAGTTTAGGACATGCCAGGGAGATGCAGAGCAGTGTTACATTGCTATAGGTCTGTCGTATAGATATCTACAACATAGGCATAGCATACAAATAGCAATATATGTATTATATATAGCATATAGATATAGAAGCATATACAAGTATGTAATTTGTAGCATATATATATATAACATATAGAAGGAACTGTCTGAATAGCCTGTTTGAGAAAATGTCAGGATTATCCACAGGGATCTGGACAAGCTTGAGAAATAAGCCCATGGAAATCTCATGAGGTTTAATAAGACCAAGTGCAAAGTGCTGCACCTGCATTCCCCTCCTGTATCAGTCCAGGCTGGGGGATGAACAGATCAAGAGCAGTCCTGCCCAGAAGGACTCGAGGATGCTGGTGGATGAGAGGCTGGACACACCCTGTCCTTGCTCCCTTCATCCTTTCGAGGAGTCTGACCTCTCCAAGTGCATCCCCAATCCCATCAGTATTTTTAGACAGTTGCTTGGAAGTGGCCAGTGCTGACTCAAGAGCTTTCCAGTCATGAACTACAAAAACCTGGACTCTGTTGCAAAAGACCAGGAAGAGTTAGAAACACGTTACTGGAGGGGGAAAAAAAAATAAAGAGAAGCTAAATTTATCCTGAGGAGAAAGGGTATGTGTGAAGCCTTCAGCTACTTCAGCTCTGCTGGGGCTGTTCAGGGAAAGGAAATAAAAAACAATGGCTGTGTCCATAAATAGGCCCAGGCAGGGGTTTAAGAGGACACAGATTGCCTAATAAATCTTTCCATATTTCTAATCTGCCCCGGCTGACTCAGATTGCATTACTGAAATGTCACAATTGCTGAGCATTAGCAAGTGATAAGCACACTTTTACCACTGACTAGACAAGCTGTAATTGGGCCGAGTCCTTTCCCTCTCCCCTTTATTGGAGCTGTAACAGACTCTCAGAGAGCTTTCCTCTGTTTAAATAAGAGCTAAAAATGGCACAAGGCAATAAAGCAAAATGACAGAAAACATAGGAGACAAATCCACAGCAGCCATGTTTTATTAAAGATTTTTCTTAGTGACGGACAGGGCATTATAAAGTGTTGCATTAACATGAGTTGGAGCTTGATTATTCCATGAGTAACTTCCCAAAGGGTGGTGTCCCACTCCTGAGGAAAGCCACATTAGCTGGAAAACACTTTTTCAGAGTTTCATCGGGTGGTGTTTGGCTTTTGGCAGCTCGTGGGTGCCTGGCTGCTCAGTGGTGTGAGTTATGGATGCATCCTGGGGCTGGGGAATTTGGGAGGAAAAACAAATGGTGTTTGTTAGGTCTGTGTGATGCCTAGAGGAGCTGGAACAGAGGCTACACAGCGTTAAGGGGAATAAAATGGATATTTATTGAGGGAAGGCCACACCCTGGCAGTGCCAGAGCCACAGTCGTGGCCATGCCTGGATGGCTCCAGGATGGAAGCACAAGAGGGTTTGGTCACGAGATCTCACATTTTTATAGGTTTTAGTCCCTTTATATACAGAAGTCAATTATCCAATTAATAGCCTCAAATCATGAAGTTTCATCCTCATTGCTTGTCTGCTTGCCCACCCTCCTCTTTTCACGTTGTTTGTGCCTGAAGTTTGAAGAGCTTGTCCTTGAGTCCCCAGCTGGAACAGCTGGTTTGTCTTCACCACCTGTGAAAAGATCCCGGGAACCCTTAACATAAAACTAAAAGCTGCACACCCAAGTGCCACTGACTGGGGTTTTTGGGGTCCCTTTGGGATCCCTGAGGCTGCTTCTGCAGCCCTCAGTGACGGAGCAAATTCCTGAGCCTCGCCCAGATGGAATTTTGGCTCGCAGTGAGCTCTCAGAGCAGAGAGGAAAAGAAACTGGGATATAGAGAAAGGCACAAATCCATGGTTTATTCTATGGAGGTATCCTGTCTACATATACCAAGGGCTATTGTTTTACAGGGGGTTTTATATCTTTTGGGGATTTTACAGTTTGCACCAATTATCAAGAGAATTCTACATTCTAACCAATCCCTGAGGGATTTCACATTCAAAGCTGGCCTATGGATACTAAAAGAGAATGAACCACTAATATTGAAGATAGATAAGAGGGTCTTCCAAAGGGGGGAAGCTAAATTCCTTTTGTATTCGTCATTTCACAGCCATTTCTTATCTTTAAGCTCTGGTTTTCCAAGGACCCTGTTCTGAGCATGCAGGGAGACTTTCTTGAGTGTTTTCTGCTTCCTCCACACCCAAGCAGAACAGAAAAAGTTCAAACTTAAGGCATCCATTTCCCCCCTTCAGAGAAATAGAAATATTTAGAAATAGAAATATTATTTCCAAGTATAAATATTTACTGACAATAAGTATTTCATGACAGAGAAGTGTCTAACAATAGTAAGTATTAGTAATAATAGAAATAATAATATTTCTAATAATAAACAATCAAAATAATAATATTTCCTGACAATAAGTATTTAATGGGAGACGGAGAAGTGTCTGACAATAATAAATATTATTAATAATATAAATAATAATATTTATAAATAATAAAAATAATAGTATTTGCTGACAATAAGTATTTAATGGGAGACAGAAAAGTGTCTCATAATAATAAAATAATAATATTTATACATAATCCAAATAATATTTACTGATAATAAGTGTTTAATGGGAGACAGATAAGTGTCTGACAATGATAAATGACAATAATAAATAACAATAGTAATATTTATAAATCATAAAAATAATAACATTTACTGACTATAAGTATTTAATGGGAGACTGAGAAGTGTCTAATAATAATAAATATAATTAATAAAATAATAATATTTATAAAAAATAAAAATAATACTATTTACTAACAATAAGTATTTCATGACAGAGAAGTGTCTGACAATAATAAATATCAATAATAATATTTATAAAAAATAAAAATAACACCATTTACTGGCAATAAGTATTACATGACAGGGAAGTGTCTGGCACTAATAAATGTCTCCGGGCCAGCCGCTGCCGGTGTAACTCGCTGTGTCTCCGGCAGATGGGCTGGCAGCTTTCCGTGCTTTCCTGAAGACGGAGTTCAGCGAGGAGAACCTGGAGTTCTGGCTGGCCTGCGAGGATTTCAAGAAGACGCGCTCGGCAGCCAAGCTGGCCTCCAAAGCCCAGCGCATCTTCGAGGAGTTCATCGACGTGCAGGCACCCCGGGAGGTGGGTATGGAGCATCCCGGGAGATGGGTATGGAGCATCCCGGGAGATGGGTGTGGAGCAGCCCGGGAGGGGGGTATGGAGCAGCCCAAGGTGGGTATGGAGCAGCCCGGGGGATGGGTATGGAGCAGCCCGGGAGATGGGTATGGAGCAGCCCGGGGGATGGGTATGGAGCAGCCCGGGAGATGGGTATGGAGCAGCCCNCCCGGGGGATGGGTATGGAGCAGCCCGGGAGATGGGTATGGAGCAGCCCGGGGGATGGGTATGGAGCAGCCCGGGAGATGGGTATGGAGCAGCCCAAGGTGGGTATGGAGCAGCCCTGGAGGGGGGCATGGAGCAGCCCAAGGTGGGTATGGAGCAGCCCGAGGTGGGTATGGAGCAGCCCGGGGCTCTCCCTCTCTCCCTTCCCTCTCGGAGGGTGGCAATGCCACCCTGACTGCTCCAGCTTGCCGGGACCCGTCCCCGATCAGGGACACTGCTTCGGTGACACCAAACTCGTCACAGGCAGGGAGTTCAGTGGCAGCCCCAGCCTCCATCTCCTGAGCTCCCCAGGAGCATTTCCCCGTGCTCCATCACTGACTGTCAGCCCTGGATCAGGCTGCTGGCCTCATTCCTCACAGCACCATCCCAGCCATGAGGAACTTGTCAGCTCCCAAGGGAGGAGAGTTTCTCCTCTGACTAACTCGCCCCTCGCTCACACCTCCCCAGAGATGTGAACAATAACTCGCAGCTGAACAAGCAATGCAGCCCTGGCGTTGTTAAATCCTCTTTCCAGCCCTTGGCAGGCTGATGGCACTGTCAGACCCTGCGTCGTGACCGTGCTGGGATGTGTCACTGCAGCCACAGCACAGCCAGGGGGGCCCTTACTGCACCCATCCACACGTGGGTGCCTGGCAGGGACCCCAAAAAGGGCTCCTTTTACCCCCTCTCCCAGCTAGGAAGGCCACTGGGAAGGACCCGGATTCACACCGTGGTGTGTGGGTGTCTCAATGCCCACTGCTCCCCCTGAGCATTTTCCCACTGTTATTCAGGAAGCTGGAGGAGATTTTAAGGACTGGAAGGCTGATTTTTGATTAGAAATGGGAATGCAGGTAGGATGGGGTTTTTCCTACAATTTGATCCTGTGGTGAAGTTCCCTTAGCACTCTTACATGGTCTTGGCATGCTTAGAATATGAAATTATTAAGCAAACACAGAGAGCTAATCCATACTGCTGACATCCACACTGAGACAGACAGCTTGACTTTCCAGGCTTCTTCAAGCTTGGACACTGAATTAATAACAACAAATAACACTTTTTCTGTCATTTTTTCTTCTAGACAATAACCCTAAGAAATGCTGATTACCCTGCTAGGGAAGGAAAGCAGGAAAAACTGCATTGGCTGGCTTTGCAAACAAATGGCAGTCATAACATTATAGGCTGGTTTATTTTTTCAAGCCTCTCCTCCAAATATTGCAAAGTGAAGCTGCTATGGGAAAAATCAAACTATTTATTTTAGATCAGCAGAGTTTAGAAAGATCTAATAAGAGTGTAGTAATGGTTTAAACCCAGTTATAAGTTCGTTCACCCATCTATTGGGCATGTGGTGAAGATGCAGATATGGTGAAGAGGGAGCAGGAGAGAGGTTAGGTCAGCAGGTTCAGGTGATGTGCAGCCTAAGAGTGTGAATAAAGGTAATTTGATTTCAGAAGTGCTTAGATCCATATAAATCCATATAAAATACATGGATAAGATCCATATATATGCCTGGATCTATATATCCAACTCTTCCAGGCTTGGGGCAGGATCCACAGCCCTGGATCACTGAACCCCCCCAGAGCTGTGGGGGCTGTTCAGGCATGGAGGAGGGTAGGACCTTGGTGCTGCTGCTGTTTCACAGCCATGGCTGAGAGGGGATGTGCCATTTGGAGGAGGCCAGCTGGACACTCAGTGCCAAACTCTCTTCTGCTGCTCTCCCCAGGTGAACATTGACTTCCAGACACGGGAGCTGACGAGAAGGAACGTGCAGGAGCCCTCCCTCTCTTGCTTTGACCAAGCTCAGGGGAAGGTGCACAGCCTGATGGAGAAAGACTCGTACCCCAGGTTCCTGAGATCCAAAATTTACACAGACCTGCTGTCTCAGACCCAGAGGAGGCTCAGCTAGAGCAGAGATGGGGCCCTCAGAAACCACGTGCTTCCCACAACAGCCAAAACCCATGTCTAAATGTGAAACTTTCTTGGTGTTAAAAGCAGTGGGAATGGGAAAAGAGGGAGAAGGGGCAGAGGAAACTTCCCAGAGAGTGATCCAGATGTGGTATTAAGACTCTTTGACTTTCTGTGCTTTTTTTTTTTTTTGTTAGCAGTAGCACCTTGCAGTCGTTGCCTCTCTCTAGAGCAAACCCACAACCCTCCCGAGTCACGGGCTCATCTGTGGGCAAGGCAGGTTTCCTTTAAAATCCCTGGGTTGCTTTGTGTGTAAATAACACCTTTCCATCCTTCCACACATCTCCCTGTCTCTCACCTCTCCCTCGTGCTTGGAAGGGCCCCAGGGGCAGTTCTGACACTTGTGAAGCCACATCCAGCCCAGTCTCACACGTTGGTCTGGACCCAGAGAGCCAGGGGAGGGAGGGAGGAGACAAAGGCACGGGATTCATTCCCTTTCCTGGAGTGGAAACCATCAGCAAACTCAGCTCACCTCCCCATTTTGTTTGCACACCTTACCACACGGCTGCTACCCTGCCACTGCCCCTTTTCCTTCAGGGCTGGAGACTCAGAGTGTTCTCCACAGGACTGCCGAGGAGCTCAGCTTTCCTTGTGAGGAAGGTGATCCCAAAAGCTCTCTCCAAGCCTGGGCAGGCAAGTCTTCTAATGGGAATGATTGTTTTTCATGGCTGTTATTTATTTGTGTGGTAGCTCAGTCCCAGGGCCCCAGTCGTCACTCAGGCTCTGTTGTGCTGGGCATTTGTCCAAAACCTTGCACAAAGGCTGCCACAGGCTTGGTGGCTCCTCAGGAAAGACCTGTTGGGAGAGAGTGGAGAGCAGGAATGTCCCCTCTGCCCCTTGCTGAGGTGTAAGAAAAGCACAAGACCCGTCTGCCACAGCAGATGGCATTTTCCATGTGGTACCTGGCAATGTGAAAAATCACATTTCTATTTTTGTTATTTTCTGATTACTCGCTGTTCCTACGTACCAATTGTCCACTGCGGGTTCAGTGCCCTGCAAAGAGCTCCCCAAGACACAGGCTCTGCTGCAGGGAGCTTGCTTCCAGTGGGACACAGAGAGCATGGAGTGAGCAGGATGGGTATCTGGGAGTGCAGTGGGCTGTGAGGTGCTCCTGGGCCCTGTTATATATCTATTATATTTATTCCCATAGCCTGGATGGCCACTGCAGGAGAAGACTGTGCAGATGTCAGGGGTGTAGCACCTCCCCTGTGCTGCTGGACAATAATTCCTACCACCTGATGGCCCCATTTCCATGGCACTGCTGTTCCAGCTTGGCAGATTCTTGCAATATTTTTGAGGGGAGAAGCAGACAGGCTGTCTGTGGATTTGAGCCGACAGACCAGAGGTCTGTTTTCTTAATTTCATGAAGGTCTGGAAAGCGACTCCATGGATCTTTTCCTTCTCTCAGTCATCCCCAGACCAGAGGCTGTAAACCTCTGCTCCAGCCAAGGGTGGTGGGTGGGTTTGATTACATCAGAAAGCTGCTGATAAAGACTTCGTGTAATGTGGTGTAAATGAGGTAGAATGAATTCTAAAGCCAAGCATAATGTGTTTGGAACAAGATAAAAAAAAAGTCTGGCTGGATATTAGAAATGACTGTCCATCAATTAAGTAGGGAACAGCTTTTTGAGGCTTTTTGCAAGGATGATGTGCAGGACAGTAGGACAAATAGGTTTAGGATCAAGATAGAGGTGGTAACCATGCTGGGTTTATTCTGGAGGTTTATTCCCGTGGTTTCCAAGACACTGAAGTCCAAATACAGTGCAAGTGCAAACTTTATGTTCAGTAGGGAACATAAAGGTGCCTGGTTGATCAGCAGCAGAATCCTCCAGGTCTTTGGAAGACAAATCCTATCTGCAGTTAAATTTCCATGAGGAATGGTGAGAAAGAGCAGCAGTGACCCAGCACTCCTGGCTGTCCTCTGCCCCTGCAAGGACACCTGAGGAGCAGGGGCTGGCGTGTGGTGACAGAGGTGGCATTCTGCAGCCGTGCCCAGGCTCAGTGACACAGTGACAGCTCAGTGACAGCTCCTGGAGCTGTCGAGGCACACGAGGCCCCCATGGGACACCAGAGACACAAAGCTCAAGGTCTTGACCTGGCAATTCCACACAAACTTTTTGCTGCTTGCTCGAAAGTGGGAGCACTGAGAGACATCTGGAAAATGCTCCAGATCTGCCATGGTTTCTCCAAAGTCACCAGATCGTGCAGGAGCTCAGTGTCCCACAGATTTATGGCAAGCAAGGCACAGCGAGACAGGTCTGGGGAACCTGTGCAAGGCGTGGAAGGAATCAGAGGTGGAAGCAAAGGACACAGAGCCACACATCCCGTGGCTGTTTCACACTGCAGTGAAACCCTCAGGGCTTGACCTACAAGGGAGGATGGAAATCTTCTCTCTCTGGCTGTAAGCAGAGGCTGGGGGAACTCCCCTTTCCCAGAAATGCTGTCTGCTACCCCTGTGTAACACAGGACAGACCGGGGTCTCCCAGGGGTACAGGCTGCTTTTGCAGTTTCCTCTCCCAGCCGGGTCACCAAAAACTGATGCCTTGGAGTGGCTACCTAGAACAGAGACTAGATAGATTTCAGAGAATAAAAGTGGGTATTTATTAAAGGCTTTAAACAGGCACACCTTGGGCAGTCAGAAACCTCCCAGAGGCTACACCCAGGCTGGACGATGGTCACAAGTTTTTCAGACAATTATAAGTTTGGTCCATTTACATATCAGGGGTTAATCCTCCAATTACAGCTTCAGGTAATGAAGTCATATTCCCCCAGTTTGCTCTCCCCCAATTCACTTTTTTTTTATACTTTTCAGGGCCTGGGGCTTTAGGGTGTCCTTGAGTTTCAGGCCTAGAGGGATCGTTTTGTCTGACCAAAATGTGAAGACAGTGGCTAACACTCTATATGGAGTTTAGAGTCATGCACTATTGCAGAACAGGATTTGAAAAATATAAAAGCTAAAATCTGAAGGTAGCAGCCTGTGGTCCCAGTTTCACCCAGTGATCCCACAGCTCAGCTTCCCAGCACTGTGGCATCCAACAAGTATTGCAGGTGCTGAAGGGAGGCCACCTTGTCCATCCCTGCCTTCCTCCTTTCCACCCTCCTTTTGCCTGTAAGTGCAAAAAGCATCCCAGAGCGGCCCAGGATGTGAGAGCCAGCAGCAGGAGGCTTAAGCAGTCAGGGCTTTTAAAGAGAAGGCAGAAGGCCACTGCAGCAGACAACTGCCTTGTGGTATTCTCTCCAGACAGACCTGAGCGGGCTTGGCTGGTGCTGACCTCTAGTGCCAGCTGAGGCTCCCCAGAAAGGCTCTGCACATCCTGGGGAGGGTCACAGAGACAGCCAGGCCAGGGGACACAGCAGGAAGGAGATGCTTGTGAGTGGGGACAATCCCCAGGCTCCCCTGGTGGCCACAAACCCTTGTCGTGTTCAGAGTGTGACTCCATCCATCCCTCTGCAAGATCCTCCAGCAGCGTTGGTGCTGTTGTCCTTTCATTTCACATCAGGACTCGTGGGAAGACTTCAAAGTGGCCAACACCCTGTAAATCCAAGCTCCCTTCTCTCCTCCATCCACCTGGGGAATTGCTTGGAGCAGGGCACAGCTGGAGATGCCATTGCTGCAGTGGTGACAGGAGCTGGAATCAGGCTGGCTGGTGTAGGAGAAGAGTTTTCCCCATTAAATTGGTGTCAGATAAGGCCCTTCCATTGGGAATAGCATCCTAGAACACAGAGTGGAGCAAAAGTGTTGTCTGAGGCATGTGAGTCTACCACAGTTATTTTTGTTGCTGCTCTTGCAGTTTGTCTCTCTGGAAGGAAAGCAGACTAGTTATTTAAAGTAAAATTCTGTTTTTTCTTAAACAAGAAAATGGCACCAGCTGCTTCTTTTATGACAAATGCCGTTCTGAAGTGAATCAAAATAAGCAGCTTGTAGCTCTACCCCTTAAACCAGGGGCTGATCAAGGAAATAATGACTGAGCCAAAGCTTTGGAAAGAGCTGAGTGGTGACTAATCCCCATCAAGGACAAATATCCTATCCTTGATTCATCTCTTCCTGGTGTGAAAGAGATATTCACAACCTACAAACCCATTTCCCCTCTCCACAAGCACACACCTCCAAAATTTTCCTCCTCTTTGGAGCAGCGTTAAAGTGTGCCATTACATGAAGAGAGGGGAAAAAAATTGGTTCACTCAGTTCTTTTTGTTCTATTTTCTGGCATGTACCCAGTCAGCTCCCGGGTAGTTTGATGGCAGAAGGGAAAAAGAGTTCACAAATTTCCTTTCCCTTTTCTATGAGCTTCAGGTGGTGCTAACTCCAGGATCAGATGTAGAACACTAATCCATCTAAAGTTTCTCCTGCTTTGGTCCATCAGCCAGGCTTGGGATGCTTTCCATCACTTTTGGTGGACTCACTAATGCACCAAGGGGTCCCTGTTGTCCATGCTGGGGAGTGTGAAGGGCAAAGTCTTGCCAGGCTAAGCAGGGGAGGGGGAAATTGCTGTGTGTGTCTGGGGGTGTGGGTGGATGAGAGTGCATGTGACTTCATCTGTATCTTATTTAGTGTCCTTTACTAGAGAAGCTTTTCTGAGACATAGATGTGCATGTTAAAATAGGAGAATTAGGCATAAATGACATAAACTGAGATCTTTAGCCAGTGTTGTGTTTGCCTCGTGTCTAAGTCCGAGTAGTAGTAAGAGACGTAAAACTCTGCTAAGCTTCCAGTTACCCCTAAGAGCACATGTATCAAACTGAACTGAATGTTCACTGATAGACACAAAACCAAAATGTTTACAGCATTCAGAGCAATAGCAAAGCATACCTCATGCCAGTCCTGGAGTGCCTCTCACCCATCAGTGCAAGCTCTCCCCTCCCTGGGGGCCTCCCCCAAAATCCTCTCTCCTCTGTCCTGTCCTGGTTGTCTTCCCTCCTCCTCTTCCTCCTCCTTGAAGC